GTGGTAAACTGTGGTCAATGTCATGAGACAAAGTGTATGTGAACTACTGTATGGAAAGTGAATTTGCTCTGTAAATCTTCACCCAAATCACAATAGAAAAAAAATAAATGAATGCAGCAGATTGACTACATTTTTTTAAAATTTCACTGTAAAATGTAGCATATTTTAATTGTTTTATCTGCTTTTTTAAGGTTATGAATCCTAAAAAGAAAGGAAAAAAGAAAAAATATATTAATTCTGGAACAGTAAGTCAATTTTTGTTTTATTCATTAAGGGTTTAAATGGGTGAATAAATTATATATATGCCCACACATATAAATGCATATGTATATATCCCTGGTGGCACAATGGGTAAGCTTTTGGCTAGAAGGTTGACAGATTGAACCCACCATCCACCCTGTAAAGAAAGACATAGCAGTCTGCTTCCTTGTAAACCATATGGGGTAGTTCTACTCTGCCAGTAAGTTCTCAAAGACAGTTATATGTGTGTATGTGTATATATATATATATATGTATATATCTATATATATATGTATGTATGTATATACACATACGTACGTACACACACAGATATACACACACACATATACAAAAAAAAAAAAAAAAAAAAAAAATCACTGCTTTCGAGTCGGATCCAACTCATAGTGACCCCTCATTGGGTTTTGGAGACAGTATCCCTATGCAAGTAGATTGCCTAACCTTCCTTCCGAGGAGTGGCTGGTGGGTTTGAATTGCCAGCCTTCTGGTTAGCAGTCAAATGTCTTAGGCACTCTGTCGCCAGACCTTATATATATGTATGATGTCAGGAGAGACTCTGAAACTTGCTCTTGAATGGAAAGGAGCTAAAGGAAATGGGAGAAATGACAAGATAAATGAATGGAACAGAAGATTTGAAAAAGCAGCTAAAGAAGACATAGTCCATTATTATAATGAAATGTGTAAAGACCTGGAGTTAGAAAACCAGAAGGTAGGAAAATATTCAGGTCAAGCTGAAAGAACTATAGAAAAAATTTAAGCCTCGAGTTGCAATACTGAAAGGTTCTATGGGCAAAATACTGAACTATGTGAGAAGCATCAAAAGAAGATGAAAGTAATACACAGAGTCACTGTACAAAAAAGTATTGGTCGATGTTCATCTATTTCAGGAAGTGGCATATGATCAAGAACCAATGGTACTGAAGGAAGAAATTGAAACTACGCTGAAGGAACTTGCAAAAAACAAGGCTCCAGGAATTGATGGGCTGCCCATTGAGAAGTTTCAACAAACAGATGCCATGCTGGAGGAACTCACTAGTCTATGACAAGAAATTTGGCCAGCTGACTGAAAGAGATTCATATTTGTACCCATTCCAAAGAAATGTGATCCACCAGAATTCAGAAATCATTGAACAATATCATTAATATCACATGCAAGTAAAATTTTGCTGAAGATAATTCAAAAACAGTTGTAGCAGTATATTGAAAGAGAACTTCCAGAAATGCAGGCTGGATTCAGAAGAGGACATGGAATGATGGATATCAATGTTGATGTCAGAAGGATCTTAGCTGAAAATAAAGAATACCAGAAAGATATTAACTTGTGTTTCATTGACTATGCAAAATTATTTGACTATGTGGATCCTAACAAATTACGGACAACGTTGCAAAGAACGGGAATTCCAGAACACTTAATTGTTCTTATGTTCATAGATCAGGAGGCTGCGGTTCAAAGAGAACAATGGAATAGTGCATGGTTTAAAATCAGGAAGCATGTATGTCAGGGATGTATCATATCACCACACTTACTTAATCTGTATGCTGAGCAAATAATCTAAGAAGCTGGATTATATGAAAAAGAACATAGGATCAGGATTGGATAAATCCTCACTAACAACCTGAAATATGCAGATGACACAACTTTCCTTGATGAAAGTGAAGATGCCTTGAAGCACTTACTCTGGAAGATTAAAGACGACAGTCTGCCTTATGGATTCCACCTCAACATAACAAAAATGAAAAGTCTCACAACTGGACCAATAAGCAGCATCATGATAAATGGATAAAAGTTTAAAGTTGTCAAAGATTTCATATTAATTGGCTCCACAATCAACACCCACAGAAGCAGCAGTTAAGAAATCAGACATCGTTTTCCACTGGGAAAATTGCTGTAGAATACTCTTTTCAGTGCTGAATAGCAAAGATGTCTCCTTGAAAACTAAGGTGTGCCTGACCCAAGCCATGGTATTTTCAATAGCCTCATATGCATGTGAAAGCTGGACAATAATAAGGAAGACTAAAGAAGAGTTGATGCTTTTGAGTTGTGGTGTTGATGCAGAATACTGAAAGTACTCTGGACTCGCAGAAGAACTAACAAATCTGTCCTGGAGAAAGTGCAGCTGGAATGCTCCTTGAAAGTGACATTGGCCAGACTTTGTCTCACCTCCTGTGGTCTGAAGGGACCATTCTCTGGAGAAGGAGATTTTGCTTGGTAAAGTGGAGGGTCAGCCAAAAAGGGGAAGACCCTCAATGAGATGGATTGACACAGTGGCTGCAATGATGGGCTGGGGTATAGCAAGGATTGTGATGATGGCACGTGACTGGGGCATTTTTTCGTTCTATTGTACATATGGTTACTATGAGTTGGAGCTGACTCGATGGCACCTAACAACAATACATACACATATGCACACACCCCTTATTGATCAGACTAGAAGCACTAACAAAACTATGCTGTGTTTCACTCAGGATTTTAATATGAAAGTATGTAATAGAAAAATTAACTTCCTATGGGAGTGATTATAATGAAGGACAGTTTGTAAGAGGGAGTGGATACGTTTTCTGCAGGTTGTTAGGTCTTCTGAAGGAAGCTGAAGGTTTGCTATGAATCTTCAGTCACTGGAACCAGACTACAGACAATCAGGCAGGCATAAAAAAAGTTTAAGTGTTAGTAAGAAATACTATAATCTTCCTAGATTACACTTAACTATTAAGACTCATCTTGTGGGATGTGGAAGTGCTCATTTTATAGTGCATTAAAATGTACAGCTTGTCGGAATGCAGTATTATATGAGTAAACTAAAAGCAAACCAGTTGCCATTGAATCAAACCAAAAAACAAACCAAAAAACCCTAAACCTACTGTCATCAAGTTGATTCCAACTCATAGTAACCTTATAGGACAGGATAAAACTACATCATAAGGTTTCCCAAGCTATGTATTTTTATGGAAGCAGACTGCTTCATTTTTCTCCCATGGAGTGACTGGTAGGTTCAAACCACCGACCATTTGGTTAGCAGCCAAATGCATTAACCACTACACCACCAGAGTTCTTTATTAATTCAAAAGGAAGGTGCCAAGATCAAAGTATGTAAACACTGTAAAAAGTCAAAATCATCCCCATTTCAAGAAAATATATATTGAAGATTTTTCGCTAAGATGAACTCTGCTTCACAAAGGCAAAACCTTCCAAGTTTTCTCCAACTTCCTTTTTAAAAATTTCTGTAAATCTGCTGAAGCAAGACACTTTAAACATTAGACGGCCCCATTACTGACACATGGCAAAAACACACATTTCATCTTGTACAATGACTTAACTTACTGATTTTAATTTTGCAGTTTTAACCATTTTTCAACTCCATTTTCATCTTTCCTTTTATCTGAAATGGGAAGTAACAAAGTGTCCTTACAGATAATTTTTGTGTTGTTCTTCAAAAGAAGTAAATAGGCCCTAGAAATAAGCTTGTTAATTTTTTGAGGGGTCCCTTTTCTTCAGATAATTTAAAATGTAAGAACAATCAGTCATAGCATATTTTAATAAAGAATAGTAGCTTTCATGATTCTCAGAATACTAGAAAATATTATTTTCTTTCGGTATTGTAGTGCCTAAGGCACTTGACTGCTAACCAGAAGGCTGGCGGTTCAAACCCACCCAGCCACTCCTCGAAAGGAAGGTTTGGCAATCTACTTCCATAGTGATACCGCCTCAGCAACCCAAGGAGGGGTCGCTATGAGTCAGGTCCGACTCGACAACACATAACAACAACAACAATATTTAGCAAAATAGCTATTTTAGATTGCAATTAGTACTAGCAGGTAATTCTGCCTTATTTTCATTTCAGGTAACTTTGCTCTCTTTCTTGGTAGAAACTGAAGTATCATTCCTTGACTATATCAAGGGAGGGTAAGTCATTCTCTGAAACTATGTCATTGTTTAACATTTCTTCAAGTTTGTATAGAAAATGCTACAGCTAGATACCAGGCAACTGAAATGATCACCTTCATTCTATCCTGATGGTAGATTTATTGCACTTTTGTTTCAGACATAAAACGGTAAATTTACATGTTGTTGTTGTTGTTGTTATGTGCTGTTGAGTCGGACCCCACTCATAGTGACCCCTCCTTGGGTTTCCAAGGCAGTGTCACTACGGAAGTAGATTGCCCCATCTTCCTTCCGAGGAGTGGCTGGTGGGTTTGAACCGCCAGCCTTCTGGTTAGCAGTCAAGTGTCTTAGGCATTATGCTACCAGAGCTCCCAAATTTACATGTTGTTGTTGTTGTTGTTGTTTGCCATCGAGTCGGCCCCGACTCATAGTGACCCCTCCTTGGGTTTCTGAGGCAGTATCACTACAGAAGTAGGAATGCCCAACCTTCCTTCTGAGGAGTGGCTGGTGGGTTTGAACCGCCAGCCTTCTGGTTAGCAGTCAAGTGCCTTAGCCACTATGCTACCAGAGCTCCTCCAAATTTACATAGCAAGAGCTATTACTTTTGTAACACATTGTAACTTTTCATTGACCAAGAGAAAAACTTTATTGTGTTATTAATAGTTATAGATAAAGCTATTATGTACACTTTCATTGAATACTTTCTCTTGCCTAACACACAGGACTTTTTAGATGGATGTTTTATTATTTGTAAGTTAGGAGAAAAGCTTGAGGGCTTGTTGAAAATGTATATTATAGCTCCAGGATATTAAAGAAATGTATCTTGTAATAAAATCATAATGCAGCAATGGATTGTGAATGGTGGTTTAGTTGCTTGCTAGGCTTCCAGGCAGGAATACATTTCAGACAAAACTGATTACTGTAACAATTCTCAAGAATTTCCAGAGTCCAGAAAAGAGCCTGCCTTAAGAACATATTATGGTTACTTACATCCTAATAAATAAGGTGGTCTTCCCAGTTTTGTTTCTATTTTTAACCTAAACAAGCACCCCAGAGATTGAAAATAGTTACTAATTACAATGAAGTCTTAAATGTCTGCATATTCTAACTTACTTGCAGTTACTTTTTATAAACAATATACAAGTATGCTAAAAAAAAAAAAGGTAACAGAAAAATTGAATGTGCTTAGTCATACAGCGACTGGTAACAGCAAGCAGTCAGAGGCATCACTCATGTAAACTTTATTCTAATGAAGATTCAGCAGTTTTGTTTTTTTTTTCCAATACGTATTCTCTAATACAATGTCATCAGCCAAAGGAAGAGATGAGGGAATGAGGGATCAGAGAAACAAATGTAGTTTCAAAACAATAGAAACCTTGCTATTCTTTGCTCTTATTTAGGAAAACACAACAAACAAAAAGGGATACCTGCCTAAATGGGGAATCTTTACTATATATGAGCATCTTGCAACCTACCACCTTGCTACACACACTGAGAAGCTAGAGACGGTTTCAATAAAATTAAAGGAAAAAGCATGATGTAAAAAATTGTTCTCCACCTCTGTTCAGTATCTCAGTGCCTGTGCATATTTTTATCTTTAGAAAATAGAAAAAAAATAGAAAGTTGAATTTGTCATAATAATAGATTTTCTTCTGGTAAAAGTGAACTCCTTAGTGTTATAGGTAATAGTTGGTAAGAAAAAATGTAAGACAATGGACATTCCTTAGCACACATTTACTTCATAGAATACTTGATAGACTCTAATGTAAGTAAAGAGGACTAAAGCTTCATGTTCCTCTCTTTTAAAAAGAAACCTTTACTGATATGAAAATAATTCATAGCAATTTGAAATGAAGAACACTGATACTAAAACCACATTACAAATAAAGTGACAAACCTATCTTCCAAATATTTCTGTAAATGACTTTTATTTTTCTTGATAGACTATGTATTTCTCTCTTTTTTTAAACCTGTTTCAGACATAAGCCTTTTGGGCTTTCTGCCCTTGTGATTCAAGAAACCTCAACTTCCAAGCAGATAAATGCGTTGCAGTGATGGAAAATTGTATTAAAAGCAGACACTAAATTAGGTTAAATTTCTAAATAATGGCAATATAGAATATCATGAGCTGACTTATTTCAAATTAGAAGTAATTATATAACAATTAATTATGTACCGTTTTATTGCAAAAACAGGAGTACAAATAATGAATATGGATTCTTTCTAAACACATCAGTCAGAATTTCTAATCTCTTTTAACTAAAAAAATCTGAAAACTGTATAACACCTCTGTGATATTTTGTATTCTACATAGTGCATATTCATTTTTCTGAAATCACAGAGTATTTATTTCATTTTTTTTTCAGGTTTTGGGTAGAGAAGTATTATGCCCCCCAAATATTAAAATACATGTATTTCATAGTTTACATTATAAATATAATATGCCAAATGATGGAGAAGTAGGTAAAATGAAAAGCATGCAGTGTGAAATTACAATATCTTTCCTGTTTATTTCCTAACATACATCGTTATTTTTTACAAGTGTGAGATTCCACTTGTTCTGGTTACCTAGTGCCGCTGTGACAGGAAATATACCACAAATGGAATGGCCTTAACAAACAGGAGTTTATTCTCTTACAGTTTGGCTTTAAGTCCAAGTTCAAAGTGCCAGGCTCTAGGGGCTGGGTGAAAGCCCCTCATCCTTGGGGTCCAGCTCTGCCTCCTGCTCCCAGCCCACTGGAGCTGGAGGCGTTTTTTCACTCAGACAGCTGTTGGCTGCTGAGGCTGACAAACCGAAGGTTGACAAATAACAAGGCACAGTCTCGATGTTACCAAACCACATGGCAGGCCATTAATTTAAGTCCATTGTAAGTCCCAAGATCAGCAGAGCATGGCAGGCTGATGAACAATGACATGGCTACACGCAGGGTCCAAGCGTGCCATAAGCTAGAGATCATTCCCCAAGGTTTCTCCTTATATACAGGAAGCAGACCACATTCCCTATGGCAGCTACTTAGCTGCTCACAGTAGATTCCACCATGGAGTTTATTACCAGTTTCATCATGGGGAATACTACATCCAGCTGCCCAGCTACTCAATCAGACCCAGTCAAGTTGACACATAGATTGAACTACCACACCACTGTATACAATATTATGCATTAAATATATACTGGATGCATATTTTCATGTCAGTACTTGTATATTTATCTATTTTTATTACAGTTTTCCATTAAGAAATGCTTTTGTAGCCTCCATTTTCCCCCATATTATACACAAGGCTGCAATCTAAAACTCAGATGCTTACTTTTTTATACACGTGATTAAGTGTGTCCATAGTGTCATTTCCTACAGATAGTATTGATGGGTTAAATATTGTACATATTTTATAATTTGTTTCATATTTCTATATTGTGTTGCTGAAAGGCTATAACAATGATACTGCTAACATCTATGAATACCTAACATCTGTGTACCATATCCTTTTTCATCATGAATGGTGTTGCTCCTTTTTTATTTTTGCTTATTTGATAGGTAAATATTAAGTCATTGTCAGTTTTGTTTGCAGATTATCAGTTATCTGTGAAACCTCTATGTATTAGCTATTTTGAAATCCTCTGTAAAAGCCTGTGTTATAGCAGCTTTGTCTTTGGAAACATGACTTTATAAATCATTTTACTTGCTCTTCTGCTCTCTTTCTTCAATTCCACCATAAAGAGTTTAGTATTTTTAACTGAAGACAGAGAATAAAAGGGAGCTACATTCTTTAGTATGGTGAGCATTTCAGGTAAAGTTCCCACTAGTCACACCTTGGTCTTTGATACTGCTCTTCAGAGCCATCTAGAGAGACTCTTCTCAGTTTTGTCCATTTACCCTTGCCTTTTGCCCTCTGATTAAACTGCAGAAAGACAATACAATAAACAATTTGGGCTGTAATCAACCACGCAACCCAACTAGTATATTGGAGATAATATTAGTACATACGAAGTTTTTTGGAATTACCAGGGTTAGCTCTTTTGAAAAGATGCTCAACCATGTTTCAGAATAACTATGCAATTTCAGAAGCAATTGAAACAAAGTATTGAATTCTGTTTGGTTTTTATAGTGAATAGTAGTAACTCTTCACTTTTAAAATAACATTATCATATTGACTGCCAACATGTATTATGTGTATTTGTGTATTGTTGCTATCTTGTGGAATATCCTTTCGAGAATCTACTCACCATACTCTGTCTAGTCCAGGAGAAACTGCTGGTAGGTTATGTTTATGTAGTCTCAATTGGGAGCTCTGATGTCCTAGTGCCTAAGGCATTTGACTGCTTAACCAGAATATTGGGCAATCTACTCCATAGTGATACTGTCCCAGAAACTCAAGGGATCGCTAGAATGGAATCTGATTTGAGGGCAGTGAGGTGTGTGTGTGTGTGTCTGTGTGTGTGTAGGGGGAGAGTATCAATTGGCAAGTAAAAGTAAAGGACTTAAAGGGTGAAAGAACAATTAAATAATTAAATTGGTACTCGGGCTTGCTCTGGGCCATCCAAAATATAGTTGAGGTTTTTCTGAATTAATTTTGCCCTCTACATTAATTTTATAAACCATTTCTCTTAGACTGGATCCTTGGGGGCATGGAGATGAAGAAAAGGGTCAAAAGAGGTGACTGAGGTGGAATATATAAGGATAACAAAGATCACAGTTAAACTCTAAGAAGGGAATTCTTGAATCTTGCTTTAAAATTTCATCTATACTAGTTTCATTTCACAAAAATAATTGAATAGAAATTTGTAAAAATGTTATTTTTTTTCTCATGAATCCAAGTGGAAATTATGGAGAGTTGAGAATGAATGCAGTTAAATACTAAACAAATTATTTTCATAGTACTTTAAGTGACTTCCACTTCAAAGGGACAACCCTGTAGGCCAATTCTTAGTATTAGATATTCCGGATTCAATTACTTTAGTTATTGACGTAGATATTTACATGAAAATACAGCCTTGATTGTTTGTGAAGCCATGTTGTTAACTT